TCTGTAAAGGTCGTTGCTGGTCAGGGCCCTGATGGCCTCAGTCGAAATCGCAAACACAAACATCGTGCTGACAGAGGTGGTTTGGACCCCTGAGCCCGAGGCTACACGGACGGGAATACGCCCGACGAATTCCGGCTCAAGGCCCGCTTCAACAAAATCCTTCGTCTCAGCTAGGTGCAAGTAGCCTCAGCTTTTTTTCGGACCGTCATAAACACGTCGAAACCTGCAGCTGCCGCTCGGGGCGGGATCCAAGTAACTCTGGCTTTCTTCCTTTGAAGGGCTGAGGCCCACAGTATCGGTCTCTTCGCCGTCGACAAAGAAACCCATGGACTTGGTACCTGCAACGGGGTTAGCCGGCACACTTCTACAGCAAAAAGTAATGCAGTGGTGCTAATGACCTCTTGCAACCCCAACTATTCGCAGGTCACCCACGCGGTTCTTGATGATCTCATTCATGCCATTGAAGGCGCCGCTGAAGATGAACAACACCTCATTCAGACTTTTCCCGACATATTCAACACATCTAGTGCCGAACTCAGAACTTGAATTTTGAATGCTACGTCTTCGACACCATGTAACGAATTTCGTCGAAATCGTCTGGTCAGCTTGGCCGCCCCCAAACCTGATTTTCACATGCAGCTCACGCAGAGCCTAGACAGACAAAGCAAATGATTCAACAGGAGTTAGGGCAATCGGTCCGGGCCTAGGTTCAGGCCAGGTAACATGCTTGACAGGCTGGCCTGCATGGAGTTCTTTGTCCCCACCTGAGCTGCACAGACTAGGCAAGCCAAAACGTACCAAGGCCGGTAGAACATCTCCATGCTCAGAGTCGCACATACATCCTACATGCACAACCCAGGAAGGTGCGCATGCATGCATACATACTTACATACATACACACAGACGTACATACATACATACATACATACATACATACATACATACGTACGTACATGTACCTACATACACACATACCTACATACATACACACATGCATGGTTGCACAACATTGCATTGCAGTGCTCTGCATTACGTCGCATTGCATCGCATTGCCTTACATTGCATTCGATAAATACATACATACATACATACATACATGCATGCATGCATGCATGCATGCATGCATGCATGCATGCATACATGCATACATGCATACATGCATACCTACATACATGCATACCTACCTGCCAACCTGCCTGCATACATACGTCCATGCATGAATGCATGCGTGCATACATACACACATTACCTGCATACGTACATACCTACCCGCCGACATAAGTACATGCGCATGCACGACCAACAGCAACAGCTGGGATTAGACCTGTCGGCATCACGTTCTCATGTGTGCGTTCCCTTTCCCTGTGCAGGTGATGCCCCTGTCCTAAAATTTCTGTGGCTCCGCTCCGGTGTGGTTCGCTCCAGTGGAGGCACTGGCCCTCAAACGGATCATGACACCGACACCCGTCGTTTCGTCACCTCCTGGGGTTATTGTGGCGTGCGCTGCTCCGGTGTGAACCGTTCCACAATCTGCCCCACAAACAGCAACGACAGCCACGTTTGAGAACGACGTGGCCCAGGATGTCAATACTTGCGAAAGACACCACCGGCGTGGTAGCAATCACAATAAGAATTACAGTACTAATAACAAGTGGCTGTGACCGTGCGTGTATCAACTCCCATCGGGATAGGCATTCGGGATAAGCATGGAACACAACACAACAGGAACGACAATTGATCAAAGCACAGACCCCAGACAACACACCAGGTCCAATCCCTGGACTACAGATTAGAACGAAGGTACGTCCAGTAATTAGTCAAGCTCAGACAAGCCACAAGTACTCAAAGTAACGACAACAAGAAGAACAACTCAGAAACTATGCAACTAGTCACAACGGCAAGAACGACGTGATGGTTGGGCAAACGGCGCTACCGCGCTACCAGTAAGGAGCAGCAGAAGAAGAATCATGGCAGCATTCGGCGCAAACCAGTAACTGTAAAGCTCGTGTTTGCGCTCCGAGAAGCTTCGGTGTCTTCCATAATCTTCAAGAAGTTACCTCAAGTGCACGGCCGAAATTCATGCCGACACCAGCGGTTGTAGCTCTCATCCTGACACTCTGCGGTTTCCTCGCTGGGCAACTTTGCACTTGGGATCCATTCCAACCACCTCTGGCAGTACCACCGCTGCCACTGCAAATCTTGTCCACTTCATCTATATACCTGAAGATGGATTTTCAGTGAAGGCTCAAGTGCTCATCAAAAGCAGAGGGCAGACCAGATCTATCTTCAGAAGAAGTGCACCATTCCGTACTGCGCCACCTCTGAGCTCCCCCCGGCTGCATCCACTAGCTGTCGCACGACATCCTCTGCATCTTCACCGACAATGCCTGTTTCGGAGAACTTCGTTGCATCTGCCTGACAGCAAAATCAAGTGGTTCTTCAGCCGTCTAAGCTCAGCTTTCGCTTCAAGGAAGTTGTTGCAGCTGGAGGTCTTTGGCAAAGGGCACTCCGAGCATCTTAGCCATGGTCCTCACGAGGTAGGTCTTCCCACTCCCCGTAGGACCGGAAATGAGGATGTTCCTCGCAACAATAGATATGGGAAAAGCGCAAAAGCAGGACAAGCTCCGATCATCTTTGCTTCCCAAGCGGCGGCTTGGTATAGTTCTTACCACGAAGGTTGGGATCATCGACGCATCTCCTCGCCCAGTTGTAATGATCGCATAAGGCCACGGACCTGGAGGCTGCCAGGAGCCAAGCAGTCGAGTAACTAATACTAAGACCGAGAATGACCGTGCAGCTGAAGCGCAACACCTTCTTGGCATCATCCTGCACTCAGCTGCTGGCAGTCTGGCCCCATACACTGGAACAAATGTCACGGCATGCACGCCCTCCTGCTCGATAACGAAACGGTCGAGGTATTCCTTCACCTCTTTCGGCTTCATCCGAAAGTCCCGTATGTTCTGCAAGACCTCGCTTGAAGCCAAGAGAAGCTGGACTTCGGTGCCACACGGCATGAAAGTGCATGTCAGATTCTCATCATGAAAAACCCAAAAAACTGACCTTGCGCGCTTTCTCTTCTTCTTCTGGGGATCCTTGGAGGTAGGCATCCGGAGCCGTGGAGTTGCGATCTGACACCCACTCTCTGGAAAACGCTGTGCCAACAGCCAAAGGGCTCTTCTGTCCGCCGAACATGTCGCCCGGCCCAGGACCAACAAATCCGCCTCCCATGCCACGTCCGCCTTGATTTACCGCTGCCTCGGGAAGGAACCGAAGACATGTGCTCTGTCTCAGCCTGCTCGAATGGAGGTACTGAGGGCAGGGCATCAAAGATATTGCCCAGGGGTACCGGGCCTTGCGCATGAACTTGTGAACGCTTGCTCCTGCCATGCTTCGTGCTGCGGATAGATAAGCAAGCTCAAACGTCAGCACCTGCACGGGATTTCTTTTGCTGCCGGTTTCGGTGAAACTCTTCTTTGGTCTCAACACCCTGGAGTTGGGCAGGCTCTTCGAGCCTTGCTCACACCAGGCCAAGCGCGGCTCTCGCACGGCTCCACTCATCCACAAGCTCATCGATGGCCTGTGTGCGGGCGGGATCCACTGTACGCGGAGCTGGGCGAAGCTCACGATGTGGAGCACCTTCCTCGCAGCTCGCATCCTGCAGACCAGCTTCCAAAAGGGCCGCGGTTTCTCCAAAGTGTTGCGCATTGCGCTCTGATTTTTCGAGTCGTTCCTCCAAGACGTGCCCGTCTGCCTTTACCTTATCCAGCTCTCGTTGCTTGTCCTGTAATTCTTGTTCAAGACGCGCTAGCTCATCTTCGAGCTCGTCCGAACTCGAGCCGGATGTGGCGTCTTCTGCCGGGTTGAGTTCCAGATCGGGAGATCCACCATGAGATGTAGAAGACCTTTCCGACGACACCGAACAACTCCTGGGTTTGAGCAGACGGCCTGTATGCTTTGCAAGCTCTGTCTGCTGGGGGTCGTGGCGCTCAAGGCATTCACTCCCTGCTCTTGATGCACTGCGAGCCACAGGTAGGGCTTGGGATGGAAGGTGGACTGAGCTCAAAGGTGGGTCTGCCGACGGGCTGCGTGAGCCAGGCCCGTGCGAAGGTCTTCGCCAGACAGGCGCAGACCACTCGGGCCATTCACCGCGCAGCTGCTGCCTTGCCTCCTGCACTACGTTTGCCATGCATCGCAAGGCCCGCAAGGCTCCATGGGAGATCCGAGAGGTTCCAGCCCTAACACGCTGTCGTGCTGCCTAGCTTTCCTCTGAAAACAGGGTTACAGTCATAAACTCAGACTGACCACAAGAGCTCATTCATGGGAAGTCATCTACACTCACCGTGGTATGACTGTTCAAATGCCTCCTCACCACTGGCTTTAACCATTTGAGCCGCCACGTAACTATGCTCGCAATGCGGGGGGAGGATCCCAACCCTGTTAAAGCCAAGTGAGCGTGCCACTGCTGCCCCACTCGAGGGTCCTCCCCAGTGGCAGGAGTTTGCGGCACGCACGCGTCGAGACGACGATCACGGAGCAGCCCAGCAAAAGCTGACTTGTTTGCCGGCTCGGTAGGCCATCGCTTGGCCCGAGCTGGGATCGCACCGAATACGCAGCAGTGGCACTCGCAGTAGCTGCTGTCGGCCATGGCGACGCGAAGGTGAGGGCCATGGAAGCGAAGTCGACTGGCCACTACACGGGCTGTCAGGGGCGTGGTGCTGCTTTGGGGCCATGATTGTGCACATTGCCAAGGCTCATTGTCGGTCGAATCTTCTCTTAATGCGAGACCGGGCTTGCTGTGGTGTAAGCTTCTGTTCCTGTAGCGTTCGTGACGGTTCGTGCAACACGGAGTGCAAATCCTTGCTCTCGGGAACTCATAGTCAGGCCTCCTTGATGCCAAAGGCTATGCGAATAGCGAGCTCAAGAACGTGAGGCATGGTGGGGCATCTGGACACCTAGGACCACCTCGGCCTAGGCGATAGCCCTGGCAAGTTCAATTGGCATCAAGTGGCGGATGTCTGCGGGTGGCGCAGCACCTCCCGGAGCTCTCTGGCCAAGGTCTGCTGACCCATCGATTTGAAGGCCCGAGCGGTCAGCAAAACCCCAACATCCAAGCTCCGGAGCCGAGCTTTGAGCTGAGACATCTCTGCCTCTTCCAGGACGCTTCCAAGCTCTCCGACGCTTTTCAACGCCGACGTCCACTCCTCCAAGGGTATGTCCATACAACGTGGTGCTCGATCGCATCCCGATGTCGACGTGACGGGATCGGAGAGTTCGAGGGTCTCCAAAGGCCCGGTCTCGGTGACGTCGGTGACATGAGTAGCAGCTTTCCAGTCGATGAGAGTCTGTTCACCTTGGAGCATGCGTTCATCCACGAGCTCCTCCACACCCACGGCCGTAACAGCACACATGCCTTTCCAGTTCGGCTTCGGCGCTCGAACCTGAGGCACAAAAAGGCGAATTCGGTGAAGCTGTGCTAGCCGCTAAGCCAGAAATGCAAGGCAGAAGACTCAGGCAAAGGCTTGTTTTATAAAGGCAGCTCCGGCTTCCGGCACACCGTTTGCATAAGCCGCTTGGGCAGCAGGTCCAAAGAAGATCTCGAATAAGTCATCCTTTCCCGCCCGAACCTTGGCCACGCGCTCCACCCCATTTCGGTTGACGATGCGGGCAGCGGTCGAGTTCTCCTCTCCCGCGGCCTCACGTGTTCGGAAGTCCGACGCCCAGAAATGAAAGGTGCTCAAGCCGTCTTCATGCCCCGGGGCTGCTTCGTTGACGTGGCCTTCGGCACAGCCAAACTTATTTTCGATGTCCAGCAATGCATAGTTCAGTATAGGTCTGGCTTCCGGCACTGCAGAGTCCACGGTGGAATGGGCAAGAAATGCATCAAACAGATTTTGGTTGTCGGTGTATGGGTTCACGTAGATCTGTCTCAAGAATAGAGCGAAAAACACCAACGTCCGATATGTTGCGCGTACATAGAACAGGCCATTGTTCAGGCAGCGGGCATCCCAATGTTCCGTGACTAAGACTTCGACTCCTTGATGGTCCAATGCAGATTCTGGGGTCGAGGACGTCAAGTTGTACGTCCAGTACTGCCTGTTCGGCCAGTCCGCACAGCTTAGCAACGGCACCCACATGTGACATGTGTGTTCACTCCTGCCTCGGGTCGCAGATCTTTGACAAGGAGCACAGGTCCGTCGTGTTGTCGAACAAGAAGGAGCCAAATCGGACCTGAGAACTGGAAGGACAACAGCCAAGCACTTGAAGAGAAATCATGCGAGTTTGACTTAGTGTTAGTAACAACGACGCACACTGTCGTGGTAGGGCTGTTGTATATTCCGCAAAGGCAATCACAAGGATAATCCGATAAATGACCACGGCAACGAACACAACTAACCCCAGTGGCAGCATGGAGAGCCACAAAAAGCACTGCGAATGAACATATCCAAGAAATTGTAGGGACTGTCCTGAGAATACTGAGGGAAGAACAACACGAGCACAAGCAGCAAAAGCAGGTAAGAGTGACAACGGTCAAAAGAGAGTCGCATCAAGAGCAAAGATCGTATTTAAGATAATCATGACATCAAGGATTAGCAGATGCAACGGTAACAGTAAGACATACTCATGATAGGACAAGGACAGTTCTCGTACGACGCTGACGCGAAAGGAGAATTAATAGCAGCAATGATGGACGGAAGGCTTACCCTTCCTGCCGCTTGGTAGCTCGCGAGCGTTGTGGCAGGACTCGCGCCGGCGCATCGCGTGCCGCCCGCAGCTGAGGCGAGGGCTCCTTTCAATCTGTAGTCATCCTACACTACTCAAAGAATATCCAGTACGAGGGGGGAGCTCTATTCAGCTTTGTGATTGCATGTAAAGCAGCAGATTGCTCTGCTACAAGCACTAGCAACGGAAGCGTTGTAATTTCGGTGAGCCGCCTCTAGACTACATCGGCACACCTAATGCGGCACTTTAACAAAACCCTTGCAGAGCCAGTTCACCAGCAACCACAACTTTGACTTTGTTGGCGTGCATGCCATCCGATGCGGACAAGCGAGGACCGTACTTGCTGTTGTGACTGGGTTTTTAGATACTGACGGCACACCGAAAGAGGTCATCTGTGACCAGCAATCCAATTCGTGGATCATACCCCCGACCTGCTTACACGTGACACCAGAAAAAAGCTGAAAACAGCAAGCAGAAAAAATCCCACTGACGCGTCGAAATCCGACCCCTGGCGGCATCCTCGACGGACGAACTGAGTTCACAAGCTGTGCTCTTGGCAAAATTGGAAGGGGGTAACCAGTAAGTCAGTAAGCGTCTGCATCTCCGCAAGCCACATTCACATGATACTTACGACTGGCAGGCCTGCAAGATGAAGGTGTCAAAGTCGATCCAGACCGTGTCTATTGCAGCGCTAAGTAGCATCGGTAGGAAGGCATGCTTGATGTAGATCACGTGTCCTCAACTTTTGTGGCACGACTGTCGCTCGCTTCCTTTTCTTATCCATGAAACTACTGGCGGAAGCACATCGTACATCCACATTGCGTTGAGGAACCTTCCACCGCCGGGACGCACAGGACCGTCGTTTCTTTTGGGGGCTCGCCTGCACACTATTGCAGATGCACCTAGAAGTACGCCAGCTGCTTCTCTCTCAACCTTACCCGATTCGACTGTCCGAGCCAAGTTGCGATACAAGTCCAGCTGAGCATCTGCAACAGCCTGATGATGCGTCGAGACTCGCTACAAGTAGCAAACGAGCCAGGGCAGACTACGAGTGCACTGTCCTGGTTGCACTTGGCAAACGCATCCTGGTCCATGCACGCCACGATCAGCGCCGGCAGGCCAACCACCAAAGCTCGCTTGATGAATCCTCTGCAGGGAGAGTGCTATTAGCATCGGCACGTGGTTTTTTCACAGCCAAGTGCTGCCCTGGAACTCAGACCCCAGGATCCCCAAGGGCTTACGCCAGGTGCCTTCAGCCCGCTTACTGCAAGACTTTTATTTTGGGTTTTGCCACTCCCGGGAAGTCTGAAAACTCGCACTCTTTGAGTTTGAGGTTTGGAGGGGGCTTGGGGAAGGGAGAACGGAGTGGTGACACACCCGCCGTGCAAACAACACCCACGAACGGAGCAATGACAAGTCCCTGACCATGTTGCTAGAGATTCTCTATGCAGGCCACCAGCTCACCAGCGACTGGGTACGATTGTCTCTCACTTTGCCCGAACCTGTCCCGTAATGTAGTTCGCAAAAGGCAGGCCACCAACAGCAGTCACATAGACCATTACCTCTGGATCTTCTCGCACAGATTTCAACTGCGCCAGGAACGAAGTAACCAGCCGAGTTAATGAGTGTCCGTGCTTTCCAGCATTTGCAGATAGGTGCGTCAACCTCAAAGCAGGATCCAATCGCAAAGCATCAAAAGCGTGCGGCTCGGCAGGCAGCTCGCAAAGTTCGTCGGCAGACCACCTGAGTCGAAATCCGGAGAACCCCGCTTTTAGATCCCGAGCTCTGCTTGGGAATACTAAGTTCTTGGCACAAGGTCGTAGGAGCGAAGTGCAAACATTCCCATCTTTGCCAATCCATGAAAGACTCCCCAAACTGCAGCAGCCCTCAGGATCTCCGGGGTGAAGGATCGCATTATCCCATGGGCCATATTGCTGAAGCGCTCAAAGAGGGAAGGATTGGACATCAGGGCCAACATGGCAGCTGAAACTCCAAATGCCGCAGCGCCCGCAGGACATGTCGGTACATAGGTTGTTGAGAACTCCCTGGGATCTTTCATCGTTGCAGAGACTAGTCCGTCCAAGCCACGTAAAAACTTCAGGCCCTCGATGTCACGTCCAGATGCGTAGGGTGTGTGACGCTTGATCATGTCCAGCATGCGCTCAGATGTATAGCCGGCAACCGACACGCCTTTGCACACAAGGCTGTCTGGTGGAATCTCCTCCAGCTGGTGCGGCTGGATTTCGGACAAGTAGATATGCAGCACTGCAAATGTGTTCCACTCCGTTGCAGCTGTCACGTGCAGGGGCGCCAGGTCCAGCAGGACGGACAGATCACGGGACAAAAGCTCGATCAGTGTGTCTCTTTTCAAATGCTCCAGGAGCTTGGTGTACGCGGCCTGTAGGGGGCTTGACGAAAGCCGGCTGCTGTCCAGGTAAGCCATGCATGTAGCGAAAATGGACGCTGTAACGGCTCCGAAGGGGCACTCGTTTAATGCATGTGGGAAGCGCCACAACACCACGGCAGCAATCTCCAGGATTTCGAGCTGCAGGGCCTCACGCTTGGCCGCAGCTGCAGCATCCTCTCTGATCAACAAGCTGCGATCGTCCAGCGTCGATTTCACCAAATCGCCAAGTCGCTGTCGCAAGAAAGGCCAGTTCACAATAGGCTGGCCCTTGAATTCACGCCGGCACTCATAGTCTTCGATTTCCACTGCAGGAAACCAAGACGTGAACTCAGTTGGCTCCGCATTCTCGAACGGCACCAGTGCCCACAAGACCAATCCAACCAACCAGCGGCCTCGATCACTAAGTGAAATCATACAGCTAGAAAAAGCACGACTCGAAAGCAAGGCCTGGACAACCTGGCATTCTGGAGCTGATGTGCCGACATGAGCCAGAACATCTGATGGAGAAGCAGGGTGGATAGATGGTTTATGGTTTTTTGTCCGCGGGGCTTCAGGGCTTGGCATGTACATGGTCAATGTGGTGACTCTAAGAAGTGTGTCCTCATGATGCCGCCTCTTTTCGGGCCAACAAGAAATGCCAAGGTGGTGGTTGCTTGCTGTGTGCGCTGGTCAGGCCTGCGACTCTTTTCAATATCGCAGTCGTACTCTGCGCACGAAAACGCATCACGCCATCCAGGCACGTTGGACGGGATCGAACATCCATCCTCTCCGCTTGATGTGGGGCTCCACCTTCGTCCGCCTTCCGTGGGCCGCCTGCAGCTCGTCTCGCCCTGTCGTGCGCATGTTCTCCTCTGGACTGTCGAAAAATCCATGGGTTCATCGCGTCTTCTCCACGCTTCCAAGCTCCTCCGATCTCCAGATCCAAACCGCCCGCCATCATAATGGCATTGAGATGCATTGAGCTGTTGCTCGGTCGGTCAACCAGGCATCGCCCGCGTCGAAAAGCTGCCCTTGCAATGCACACGCTACAATTCTGACCTGTCACCAACGGCAGCGAGATCGGGGTGAGAAACTGCGCGGCGAAATTCTAGAATCACGAGCTCCGCATCATCCAGCTCAACATACGTCTGCTTATCGGAAGCGATCACGCATTCACCCTGCTGCCGCTTCGCTCCATGAAGCGAGCTACACCGCCACTTGCTGGGTGAACTCGCAAACCTCTTCACAATACGAAATTGGAGATGACCCATGTCGCCGGATGGCAGCTCGAAAGCATCTTGCATCGTGAAAACGTCCGTCTTAATCTTGGGCTTCGCAGATTTTTTAGTGGATGGATTCCTTAAGGTTAAGAAGCCCAGACCATCTCGCCAGGCTGCCCAGCCATAAGGCCCCAGCTCGCACGCACGGAAGATAGCCCAATGCGTGTCTTCAAGTGTCAGTGAATTCTTCCGTGCCCACTGCAAAGCCTCGGCCAGGACATCCCACCGACCTGGATCCATGAGGTCAGGCGAAACATAAAGCTCCTGCAGCAATAGGCCCAGCGAAGCATGCGACCAAACTTCCTGTGCCCAATCGAGCTCGTTAGCAAGATGGAGCCCAAGCGCCCGAGCATCACCATGCTTTGACAAAACAGCGCCATGGATCATGAGGCGCGATATGGGGAAGAACCTCGCGCGTTGCACAATGGCTGCTGAGATAATGCACCTGGACAGACGGGGGCCACAATCAGCTGCAACGACCGCTCAAACGCAGAACCTTCCACGCTTGCCAGGTCACTCACGGAAGAGCTGCCAGCGCTGTCGGATGGTCAAACCCGGCCGCTCATCTTCGGAGAAGGCAAGAACGTCTCGGTGGCCCCGCCAGATGCTGTCCACCTGAAAGCTCGCAACCCAAGTGAAGATGATCCACGCAGTCATATACATAAACCAAGAATCAGCCCTCCATGATGGTGAGGCGAGGCACCCAAAGAAGGAAGAACGGACTGGGCCAGGTCCCCGTGGTCAAGTTGATCCAGATTCGATCCTTTGCAGCCTGAGAGTACAAGACGCAGCTGTAACTGGAGCTGCCGGCACATGGTCGACATGCACCAAACAACTTAAGCTTCAGCCCAGGCTCCACACTCCTGCAGGGTGGAAAACAAGCGTGCAGCTGCAAAGGGACAGTCATTCGAGAAAAACACGCGAGCTACAAGTGACTTCGGATGCATGCCCTCGGCAAGTGCATCCGGTTTGCCATCTTCTGGCACTGCGAGCTGATTCCCCATTCAATTTCGACTTGCTGATGGGACATTTGGCAAGAAAGCAAGCGAAGGATTTCCATGTGGCTGATAGATAGTCGCGACGGGACTTTCGTAGGCTCGGACATGTGATGGCTGGAGACATGCAATGCATGTTTCCGGCTAGCGACCATGACCAGGTCGGGAAGACAAATCTGTCCTCATCTACACACAATGAAAGATGCGGATAACCACTCAACCTCAGAAATCGAAACTTCGTCGAAGGTTCGCTGCTACGCGAATTTCTCAAGGAGGAGGAAGTAGCAATGAGTTGGGTGCACTTTGTCTTGTTTGTACGAACCGAGCTGCGCATGCAAGCTCATGCCAACATGCGACAGGCTGGGTCATCTGGGAACGGTCACGTCGCTGTTTACGGTGCACTTTGTTTCTGTTCTGCGGCGTCCCGAACTTGCCGGGTGAGTCGGTTCTGATGTTTGATGTGGGACACTTCGCAATGAGGCCTGCCCAATGAGGGCCTAATCGGCCTAATATGATGTACCAACGTCGGACTGGTCAAACATTCTTTCGGCGCACGAAACGGACATCTACTCCGAATCAACACCATGCCATTCTTGTGATGCTAAGCTGTTTGCTTGCTCCCGTCCTCTGTCTGGCAACGTGGTTTTTTGGTTCCACTTCTCGCAGAGCATGCGAGAACGAAAGCATGGCTTCGATCTCACCTGGAACTTCATTCGGGTCGCCAGCAATGCCATCAAACCTTGTGATGCATCTACGAGCATCGACTGCAAGGGCCAGGTCATGCTAGTGGCAAGCATTCAGCTACATGTAGCAATCGATGCCGAGTATCTTGAATAAGTTAACACCCGCCTCGTGCCGGAAACTGGCAGCTGCTGCTGTGAACTTCCTCCACCAGTGTCGAGGTTGTAAGCGCAGACGATGCAGAACAGAAACAACGAACATGCAGCTGGTTGCGGATGTTCCGCCCGCAGATTGCACATGGCACTTACGCCCAAATGCTGTGCAAGCCAAGCATGTGCAGCAAAGCATCGCTCTGTACATAGGGCCTCAGGGGGTGTCAGCAACTGAGCAGGGGCACTGGGCCCTGATATCTCATCAATCGCGCCTGCAAGAGAAAGGCCGTGCCTGAGCGGCATTCGCTTGCGCTACCCGTGAGGCCCCTGATGCTAGAAAATGCCTTGCAATGAGGGAGCGACAGGTTCGTACAGCAACGACTAGAGGAGATAACGGCTGAGTTAAGACTCACAGTGAATCCGAGATGCTCGTTGACTTCCAGGCCTCGTCGCTTTGCTTCCGCTACTCGCAGGTCCTTCGCCTCACCATAGCCACCCCAGGGAGAAAGCCAGATGCCATTGCTACCTCGGTACACAAACACGAATACTGGCAAGACCATGCATAGCTTCCCTGCAAGTGGGAGACAGTTTCTGGAGTCTGCCGCTCGCACCAAGTTGTCAAAGCCGTTCGGAAATCTTGCCACATTGAAAGCCCACATTCCTCGCTGTGGATCGTCCCAGCCGTCGTCCCACAAGAATGAGTCAATCTGCACACCCCGCTTCGCGACTAACTCATCATGAAAAGTGCTAATCTTCTCAAGCGCAGAAGTCTCGTTCATTTGGTCTTGCGACAACTCAGCCAGCAGCTGTCGCAACCAAAGGCTTTGCTGAACTGTGGTTGCACGGCGAGGATCGAAGAAAGACTGATCTTGCCATGAAGTGAAGTCGTACCAACTGTTGTAATGGACGAGTGGCCCTTGCCAGGACTGTGGGCGAGCTTGTGACAAGTATAGGTTGAAAGAACGACGAGCTTGCGACTTTTCTGCAAAGGCACCTATGACCGCGCCGTAGCCAAAACTTTCAGTCTTCCAGTCCATCGATGCTAAATGATTGACGGAGCCCACCAAATCACTGCCAGAGGTCTTGTTCAGGTCATGCGCAGCGAGCGGATGCTCCACCGCAGCAAAGAACTGGTCGTCAAGCAGGATAGGCGATCCAGGAACGCTACCAGTCGACAATGTCTGGCCGCAGCTCGCAGTGTGCTCAGTGCTTACAGCGAGTAATACCAACTTTCCCGGGAAAGCACGATCGGCTGCCAGTTTGGCGGAAACCCTGAGGAAAGCTGCAAGGCCGTCATCTTCTGCCCCCGACTGTGCAGATTGCATGGTCACGCTCCAAGCAACATGGAGGCCAAGCCTGGTCAAAGGTCGAGCCCAAGCTCCAATGCTGGTCTACCATGATCACTTGCAATGCATGCCATGCTGCGGGCAGTCGAGTTGGAGGGAAAGCCGGCTGAATTCCACGACTGGGGCCTCACGCATGATGCCTCGGATCTTTCAAAACAGTCCTGTATTCGGCTAGCTTCATCCATGTTTAACGGAGCTCCGGCACACTGCGATGAGTTCACCCCAGTGATCTCTGTCATTGGCCTCCAACTACAAACGAGGTTCGCTCAGCCTTGCCGCTCTACATAGATTTCTGCACGGCTTCGTGCCCCGTCCATCTGCCTCTCTGGCAAATGCGCCTCGATGTCAAACAATGGCTCCAAACGAAGGCGATTGCCTGCAGAACATCGGACTCACAGCAACAAGCAATCTCAACAGCATGCTGACAAAACAGCTAATCTACGGCTCGTCGCACTGCCACTTCCCGGGCGTTGAAGCATCGCCGGACCTGGCCCGTCACTTAAAACAAAAGCAGGCCAGCCAGCATCTGAAGGTTCGAAACGTCTGGCCTTGGCTTCCACGTCACGGTGCCCTGCAAGGCCCCCTGCGATGCTTGCAGCTGGAACTCGAGGCCTCCAGCTCTAAGCGTCCAAGTCTCTGCCTGCTGAAAAGGGGTCTGGGACACGTGGCTGGCGAAGCGAATGGCGAAGATCACACGCGCCTTCCCACCGATCAGGCCCAGGGCCGCGAGGAAGACGAAAAAACGAAAGAACGTGACATGCCGCATGCGATGGTTGCAGAAAGGCTAGCGTCAGTCAGCTACAGGCCGACAAATCCTGAGCCCTGGAAAGCACTGAAATTGAATTTGTGACGGGCACAGCAGGAAAGACCGGGAAAAACACGTCGACATGCAGGTGACCAAAAGCAGCTTCTGCATCGACCTTTTTCCCGTGTCTCTGTGAAAACTGGGTTTAGGCCTAGCTTGATTAACAGATGATTGACCAGTTGGTCTGCTGGTCCGAAACATCAATCCTCCTTTTTCTTCTTCACCCTTGGTGATGACAAGGCTTACAACTCAAAGTCATGGAAGCTGTCGGGACACGAATATCTATCTACATCTCGTGCCAAGGTGCAGCTCCAATGAAAACGTTCCACCAGGCTCGCCGCCTAGCGTGACAAAGCCTGGCGGGCGCTCTTCTCGCCACTTGGACTTTATTCTGAGTTTGGTGCAGAGTGTGGCCCGCAAGCTCTGGTTGGGTTGAACATATTGCATGCTGCCTACGCGCTCTCGCGTAAAACTTACGCAGGGAACGAGAGGTTGGTTTTCGTTTTCCCAGGGAGTAATTTTCATGGATGGAAACAATGGTTCATCCCAGTGTTTAGTCTGATACATGAACCGATGGCATCCTGCGACCAGATGCAGCCAGGCTGCCATAGATCAAGTTGTCTCCGATGGTTTGAAAATCGCCATCAAATGCCAACTTGCCATCGGTGAACTGGATGCGCCGTCCAGTGAAAATGCCTTTGAAGCCTTTCTCCTTAAACACCGTCCATGCATAAGCAGTGCCGGGAACCCTATGCAAGGTCTGCAGGCGACCTGGTTTCTGCAGCCTGCTCTTGATGCTGACCCAGGCACCAGGTAATCGGGTGACTCTGCACGCAGATACTTCAGGAATTCCTGGTACACTGCTGGCTGCTGTTGGACTGCACAAAAAATCACATGAGCACAGCTTCGGCCAAGGCGTCCTCTCGTGTCATGCCTTTGCTCGCATCTGCGCAATTCTCTGCAAATTCGCCCTCGGATGGAAATCCTTCGACAGTGGCCACCTGGGACGTGCACAGAAAGTTAACCCACAGAAATGCAGAAACCCCTACTAACCAAGTTGTCAACATCCCGCCTGCTTGAAGAACTGCTGCAACATGGGCAGAGACATGTGTTGACAATCCTCCTCTTTCGGCATTGGCTGCTTAAAATCGCGCCACTGCTCGTTGAACTTGTGGAATGCGTAAGCCGTCATATCTTGATCCTTTTGCTCACCTGATTCATAGGCGATCGGGTAGTCTTGGTTGAATGTTACTATGTCGTCGATGTCACCACGCTTGGAAAAAATCTGCGCCTCACTGTCGGATGTAGCTGTGAACTTTAAGTCCAGCTGTTCGCCTCGGAAAAGGCCCGGGTGCTGAATGTTGCCGATAAACTTGTCGCCTGCCACAATGTGTGGCAGGTGCCATGGGGGGCGCTGCTTCTTCTGCTCAATCTCTTCTGCTTTGTTTTCCAAGCCAAGTTTCTTCAAATACAACTGTTTCCTCTCTGTGGGGTTGGAGAAGCCGCCTGCCTCCTGGCGTTTCACCAATCGGAGCTGCTGACCCATCCATTTTTGCATGTTCTGATTGACAGTGGGGTCTCGCCGCAAAATGGGCTTGTATGCTAGTCTTGCGACAAGCTTGCGAGGGCTAGATCTTGTCCTGATCCCTGGCACCCAGCTGTAACCTGGGAGCACTACTAGCACGACGCCCAGCAGCAAACATCGGCACAAACCGTGCCGCGGCCCAACCATCCTGCCTGCTATGCTAAGCCAGCAACCACCCGCTCCGTCTGGCTGGCTTGATCCAGAAAGCAACGCACAAACACTGCAAGTTGTCAAATCCAATGCGCTCAGGCCTGGGCAGATGCTCCAAAGTCCCTACAGATGTATGGGAGGTTTCCGGCGGTGCACCAGGAGGGGTGGTCGAATTTCAACTTTCACCTGCGAGTTTACCTCCGGCATGCTGCAGATCAAAACGCGTCCGGGACAGTGCGACTCCGAGACAACACGTCGTGTGCCCAAACGGGGCACGGTAACAAGAGCCAGCGACACAGCAGGCAAGTCCCCGGCAGCATCCAACGAGCGAGGCGGCACCGACACCGAGAGCACACTTCGCAGGAGAAGTTTTTGGCCGGTCCGGAAGAGATGGGCTGCGGTGACGGTCGGAAAGCTATTCAGCTGATACTGCGTGCCGTGTGCAGGGATGGCAGTCCAATCAAGAATGGCACCCAGTCTCCGGATATCTCACGATAAAAGTTCCGCGGTGGCACAGAGAGCCAAAAGATGCCAAGAGCATTTTTGCGGGCAGAGGCCAACAGATACCCTCGGATGCCCACTTCCACCCAGTGCAAGCCCAAGCCAAGGTGACCAACTACTCAACATTGGGCATGGCTGCGAAATGCTGCGAGGGCTGGTAAACGAACGACGGCAGGCTAGGTGCGAAGGACACTGGAGGAGCGAACAGCCAACATCTCCTCAAACACAGCTCCGAGGAATAAGGCGTCTTCAAAAGACAAACCTGATCCTCGGTGGTCAATCGCTGTATGCTCGGTCCGGGATTTGAAGCCCGCTGATCGACCTTGTCCCGGTGGTGCTGTGAGGGTTTGATGGTTGGATGGCAAACCCAAGAATAAGACCGCATGTTCCGAAATACTCTCGCCGGGGTAACGCACCACGCAAAATCGACAGCGCGCCACAAAGCTGGCACACAGCGCCTGAAACATGATCTTATCAATGTGCCGTCACCGGGTGCCACCCTTGAACGAACCCGTTGCCCCTGTTCCGGAAAGAATGTGTGTGCGTGTTGTACACAATGTAGACCCCCCACGTGTCTGGGCGGCCCTCTGACAAGTTTCCCCCTGGCTTGTTGTGGCGCGGCGCATCGCGTCCCGATACAAGTATTTACACATCCGGTGCAGCCACGTCTTCTGGAAAGTGCGATGAACTGTAAATCATAAAGCATGATATGTTTTGTTTCCTTTCACTTTTTTGCGACAGTCGACACGCGGTCCAAGTGCACAAGGGCGGCGGGAAACGCTATATAGGGCATGGGGGCAGCTGTATGCTTACCTGCAGTCTTACATTTCTGAATTCCGCCAGCACATTGTGCGGAAACCTTTTCGCCACGGTCCTAAATCTCGCCAGCGCGTAAGGGGGGGAAGCATGTTCGTCATAGCTCTGCATCGCCCGCGTGCTGGTGTCGTTAATTGATGGTTGTCGTGTGGTGCCGCCGTCCTGGTGGTGGTCGTCCCGTCATGTTCAGGCCTTGTAACGAAAGGACCGCGGTGTGCGGGGGGGGTTCACGCGGTGTTCTCGCAGTGTATCTGCTGCATGTGCGATCCTAGACTGGTTGGAAATATCACACCCATCGGCAACCTAGATTTCATCGCATCAGGCGGAAAACCGGATGCGCACTGAACGCGAGCTTTTGAACCAATTGCCTCGCCTCCCCCTGATTTACAATGTGCATGGCTCCTCCTCGCTATGTGTGCCTCGCCGTGGGCCCCGCGGGCCAACCACGCGCTCCGCACGGTGCCGCCGCTAAACATAGCCGGCTACGCGCAAGCCCATGACAACGCCGTATGGGAGACCTTGCAGGCCTGCCTCGGCGGAGTCGCGTCTGGCGAGGCGGACGGCGCACGGAAACTGGCGACTCTCCCAGCGTCGCTTGGAGGCCTCGGTCTAGCCAGCGCGGTCCGTACCGCGCCCGCAGCGTACTTGGCGGCATGGGCTGACGCAATCCCTGTGCTTGGCGAGCGCCCGGCTTTGGCCGAGGCATGCGTCCGCCAACTGAGCTGGAGGGAAGGGACGCAGAAACGGCCTGCCTCCGCAGCGCAGCGGTGGCACGCAACCTCCTTCAAGCAGAATGCTGGCAGGACTGCCCGTCCTGGCGAGCAATCGCGGATGACGCCCGCCCACCAGCGGTGACTGACAGGGGCCTCGGTGACTGGCCGCATGGCTGGCAGCACAGTGCGTCGCGAACTCGCAACCTACACCTCCGCGGGCGCACGTTGCTACCAAGCCTGCCACCCAGCGCCTGAGCGCTCTTGCACGCTGGTGCCTGGTTAACCGCATTTGCAGCGCTCCCGGGCACACGCCTGCTCGCTCTTTGGGCTGCCCATCGCAGGGCCCAGCAGGGAGAGCAGGCTTGCAGCGAAGGCGCGGGCAGCCGCAGGCTGACCAGCGAGAGGCCGCGAAAGGAGGCAGGCGCGGCTCGCGCACGGAGGCGTGCAAGAAGCTTGACAAAGTGGCAGCTTCTGTGCTCCAGCGGCCACCGAGCTCCAGGGCCAGCACGACGAGTTTGCATCGGGCAGACTGTTGGAGCTCAGGGTAGGTGCGCTCCTTGGCTTGGCGTGCTAATGCTAGCGCAGTGCCAGCTGTGCGAGGCTCTGGCGGGCAACCTGCGAACAGGCCCCAGCCGGCTGGTGTAGCCGGGTCACAGTACCCCTGACCCTGAGGACTCCCGACGCGGCCGCACAAAGGTGCGAGGGAAAAAAAAAATTGATGCGAACCCGGCCTCCTGTAGCTGCGCCGCAGCTGTTGCTAGTTCGGCCGGGCGGCCTCCGCCACAAGACTTGAGTGACGCTGGCGCAGGATCGACAAGGTGTCGGCCTTTTCTTTTTTCTTCCAACGCACCTTTTGTCCGCAGGCAGGTTCGCGTTAGGGGTCCCGGTGCAAGCACGGCCTACTGGGCAGGGCCGGCGCAGCTAGGACTGGTCGAGGCCAGCTAGGCGACGTCCCAGCGTGCATGGCAAGGACTTCGTGCAGCTCGGGCTCGGGCCCCTCTCCGAGCTCTGCGGCTGGGGGAAGCTCCAAAAGAGACGCTGCAAGAGCGCCGAAGGCCGGACCAGCGTGCGACCCAAGCTGTGATGGCAGAGGGTCGCAGCATGCGCGGGACGGCTGCGGCACGGTGCCGCGCCAGAAGGCGCAGCAGCTGCACGGCCCAACCTCAATGCCGAGGACTACCAAGCGGCACCGTCGGGCTTGACCAAGCTCAGGGTATGTGTGGTGTCGCTTGCGGCGTGCAGCATTGGTGGCGGCACGGCCAGGTTGCACGTCGGCATGGGGGTGTGCTTCGCCTTGACGCGTCAGGGCGACACAGTGGTCGCGTCGACGGCGGGCATCGGCGAGCTGGGATCCATGCCGCTCGTCTGCGACGGGCACATCAAGGTTCATGTCGGCCAAGCGCACGTGGCGGGCGACCCCTTGCACGGCCTCGCGGCACACACGCGCGACGGCGTGCTCCAGGGGCACGTCGCGCGTGATCAGGACGCCGGAGGTGGCACACGCCGCACGGTGGTCACCAAGCTCATCGAGCTGTCCACGGCAGCTGCATCTGCGCGGCGCGAGCAGGCGCCGTAGCAGCAGCAGCACTCGGAATTGGGCGCTATAGGGATGCTGGCGTCGTCATGTGTGGGCATGACGCTGAAGCCGCGGCCGGCGAATGGCCCCGCTTGCAAAAGCAGCAGCGCACGAGACGCAGGTGAGAGTTCAGCAAGATGCGTCTCGTACGCACGCGCGGGTGGCAAGCCGCTGCCATCCTTTGAAAGACGCTGGCGCGGTCGCTTCGCGAGGCCGGCAGGGAGGAGGTGGGGGGGTGGGGGGCGGGGGCCAGCGGTCGCAGTGACCCAGTCGGGGACGTCGAAGCCGTTGTGCTGCAAGTGTGCTCGCGCCAGGACGGCGGCTGCCGTGGATGGCAGTGGCTCGTCGCCGCTGAGGGCCCGAAGGAGGCGGGTTGCGGCGGCGGGGGCGCGGGCGCTGATGACCGGCAGGCACCAGGAGGCCCAGTGCGCTGCAGGGCCGTCGTTGCAAGCGGAGCGGAGGCCGAGTCCACCAAAGCGCAGGGGCAGTTGAGCAACCCGGCCGGAGGCAGGGGGCGCATCACCGTGCTCGAGCAGCGCAGCCAAGCACCGGGCGACCGCCGCGTCATGCGCTGCGGCGTAATCTGCCGTAAGGTGCGGGGGCAAGATGCGAAGCAGATAGTTGGCGCGCGGGGCGGCGCAGGCCTGGAGCAGAAGCCATGCTGCCTGCAGGTCCTCGAGCGACGGGATGCGGCGCAGCAATCGGTCCTGTTCGTCACGCTTAAGGCCAAGATGGCGGGCGACGAAGGCGTCGTGCCTAAGCGGGGAACCCGGGACTTTGAGCTGTGGGGAGGTGGACCAATCCCCGACCCAGACGGATTCATTCGAGTCCCTGGATGTTGGATGGTTCCTCGCTTGCCGCATTCCAGATCCTGGTTTTGCCCTCGCGCATACGAATCCGAGCGCGGTCCCAGAGCTTGGTTGCGAGGGCATCGTAAAGTTCCCGGACGCGCAGGGGCAGGGCGACGATGTACACGTCGTCAAGGAACGCGAAGACGGCCTCCCCATCTTTATGCAAACCCTTCAAATCATTCAAGGCGGTGCGTTGGGCCAACGCGTAGAAAGCCGGCATGAGCGGGTCCCCCTGTTCGCCGCCTTCACCTTGATAAAACGCCGTGGGCGACCCCATGGTCGTCGTACCATGTGTATGTGCTGGGGCTCGCGTAGAACTGCCGGGAGTAGAGGAGAAGGGGCTGGAGCTCCGGGTTAGTCAGCACG